GAAACAATGTAATATTTATAGGTTTATACACTCTAAAAAATGCTGGGTTGTTTCAACCCAAATTTGGGTCAAATATGGACAAACCCAAATGTTGGGTTAAAATGTAATTAAAAAATGTACAGTTGAAAGTGAAAGTTGAAGTTGGGTTCAAATTTTAAATGACGTTTTTTAACCCAACATTTGGGTTTGTCCCCATTTGACCCAAATTTGGGGTAAAACAACGCAGGACCGTTTAGAGTGTATCCCGTCTTTCAAATTCAGTGACACGTCAAGCCAGTAAACTTGGTACACTCTAAAAAATGCTGGGTTGTTTTAACCCAATTTTGGGTCAAACATGGACAAACCTGAAATGTTGGGTTAAAAATGTAATGTAAAAATTTAACCCAACGGCTGGGTTAGTCCATATTTGACCCAAAGTTGGGTTAAAACAACCCAGCATTTTTTAGAGTGTAAGATTTGCATAATGGTAACCAGAAAGGTGTCATGATACCTCACAAATTACATCGGATACACACAACCAGACATTTGTTTGCCTAGAACAGTAGTTTTTGCTGAATAATTCATGCTTTAACACAAGCATGAGATTCGCACTTCTGCTTGTAATCCCTCTGGAAGGCTGGTCTTGTTTACTCCCATTGCAAGTTATTGTAACTGTGTGTGTTTGTTTGAACAAATCAGAAATATTTTTCTGTGGTAATCAGCACGATGCTATTGATATAGAGGTTATTGAATCATGAATATTCTTGTGTTGCTGTTTCAAATGTCTTGTTTGCTCATATTTTGAATGTCAAGTCAACATGCAGATTGATCCGGGAACCTCTGCTCTCTATGTGTTTGTTATCCTGTAGGTGAAATGCCCAGAATCTTATTAAACTTTGAAGACTGTCTTTACTGTGATACACAGAACATAAGCCAGTGGCTCGTATAGACTGCTGTTATTTCTCAGCCTACTCTGAAATGCAGGGTAGATGATTGGAAACAGGGTAATTGGAGTGTGTGTTGAGCTTTGACATTGTCTGTAATACAGCGGGAAACCTGAGACATGCTCATGAATGCAAGTGAGGCAGTGATAAGAGCTGTGTGGCCATTTGAGATGGTTTTATCATCACTATAATCTCTATGTAGAATGTATAGGGAACGTAACCGGTCGGTGACCAACCATGAAACAAATGCTCTGGCTTTATCTTTAGCTTTTCTTCTGTTGTCTCAGCACATTTTCCTCACAATTATTTCTTAAAGTCAACCTCAAATCACAATTATTTACTTTCTTAATACATGCTCATTGAAGGGATGCACGATATATCGGCCACCATATCGGTATCGGCCGATAAAAGATTATTTTTAACTTTATTGTTATCGGCCTGATAAGAAAAGCAGGTTGTTAGATTAAAGCCGATAAGTAATTTATTATTTCCTTCCGCTGAGACGCTTCAGATGCACACTGATGGTTTTGAATTGATGATTGGAATCACTTCAAAAAAGGAAAATACAGTGCAAAATGCAAGTCTGTAATTTAGGATACATAAAGTTATCATAATTGTGTGATCGGGACATGAGACTTTTGTTTTTGTAATCAGGCACTGAAAAATTATATAAAATTTTGGATTTAGGTTTATCGGGCATTAAATCGGTTATCGGCTTACAAAGATAAAGAATTATCGGTTATCGTATTGGCCATAATTTTCATTTCGGTTCCTCCCTTCTAGTGTACTTGTGCATGAATCACTAGTACACATTATTTCAAAAGAATATATTTATTCTTTTAGATTTATCGGGCATTATATCAGTTATGGGCTTTCAAATATAAAGAATTATCGGTTATCGTATTGGCCATAATTTTCATTTCGGTTCCTCCCTTCTAGTGTACTTGTGCATGAATTACTAGTACACATTATTTTTTAAAAGAATATCTTTACTCTTTTAGATTTATCGGGCATTATATCGGTTATCGGCTTTCAAATATAAAGAATTATCGGTTATCGTATTGGCCATAATCTTCATTTCGGTTCCTCCCTTCTAGTGTACTTGTGCATGAATCACTAGTACACATTATTTCAAAAGAATATCTTTACTCTTTTAGATTTATCGGGCATTATATCGGTTATCGGCTTTCAAATATAAAGAATTATCGGTTATCGTATTGGCCATAATCTTCATTTCGGTTCCTCCCTTCTAGTGTACTTGTGCATGAATCACTAGTACACATTATTTCAAAAGAATATATTTATTCTTTTACATTTATCGGGCATTATATCGGTTATCGGCTTTCAAATATAAAGAATTATCGGTTATCGTATTGGCCATAATTTTCATTTCGGTTCCTCCCTTCTAGTGTACTTGTGCATGAATCACTAGCACACATTATTTTTTAAAAGAATATCTTTACTCTTTTAGATTTATCTGGCATTATATCGGTTATGGGCTTTCAAATATAAAGATTTATCGGTGATCGTATCGGCCATAATTTTCATATCGGTTCATCCCTCCTAGTGTTATTGTGCCTGAATCACTAGTACACATTATTTTAAAAGAATATCTTTATTCTTTTAGATTTATCGGACATTAAATCGGCTATCGGCTTTCAAATATAAAGATTTATCGGTGATCGTATTGGCCATAATTTTCATTTCGGTTCCTCCCTTCTAGTGTAATTGTGCATGAATCACTAGTACACATTATTTTTTAAAAGAATATCTTTACTCTTTTAGATTTATCGGACATTAAATCGGTTATCGGCTTTCAAATATAAAGAATTATCGGTTATCGTATTGGCCATAATTTTCATATCGGTTCCTCCCTTCTAGTGTACTTGTGCATGAATCACTAGTACACATTATTTTTTTAAAGAATATCTTTACTCTTTTAGATTTATCTGGCATTATATCGGTTATGGGCTTTCAAATATAAAGATTTATCGGTGATCGTATCGGCCATAATTTTCATATCGGTTCATCCCTCCTAGTGTTATTGTGCCTGAATCACTAGTACACATTATTTTAAAAGAATATCTTTATTCTTTTAGATTTATCGGACATTAAATCGGTTATCGGCTTTCAAATATAAAGAATTATCGGTTATCGTATTGGCCATAATTTTCATATCGGTTCCTCCCTTCTAGTGTACTTGTGCATGAATCACTAGTACACATTATTTTTTTAAAGAATATCTTTACTCTTTTAGATTTATCTGGCATTATATCGGTTATGGGCTTTCAAATATAAAGATTTATCGGTGATCGTATCGGCCATAATTTTCATATCGGTTCATCCCTCCTAGTGTTATTGTGCCTGAATCATTAGTACACATTATTTTAAAAGAATATCTTTATTCTTTTAGATTTATCGGACATAAAATCGGTTATCGGCTTTCAAATATAAAGAATTATCGGTGATCGTATCGGCCATAATTTTCATATCGGTTCATCCCTCCTAATGTTATTGTGCCTGAATCACTAGTACACATTATTTTAAAAGAATATCTTTATTCTTTTAGATTTATCGGACATTAAATCGGTTATCGGCTTTCAAATATAAAGAATTATCGGTTATCATATTGGCCATAATTTTCATATCGGTTCCTCCCTTCTAGTGTAATTGTGCATGAATCACTAGTACACATTATTTCAAAAGAATATATTTATTCTTTTAGATTTATTGGCCATTATATTGGTTATCAGCTTTCAAATTTAAAGATTTATCGGTTATCGTAACGGCCAAAATGTTCATATCGGTTCATCCCTCCTAGTGTTATTGTGCATCAATCACTAGCACACATTATTTCAAAAGACTATCTTCATTAATCATCCTGCTAATTCTCTGAAATGACATTGATTGGCATAACCTAAGATATGTGAAAGTGTAAAATAATGTTAAATAAATAAATCATTTTAAGCATGGTTTTAGGACAAATTTGTCGGTAATACAGCCTTTCTAAAATCTTGCCAATAGTTCAAGCAGAAAATGCATTCTGGTGAACGTTAATGCAACGTGAACAGTCCTCCACAACCAACTGCTAAAAAGAGATCAGGTCTGACTCCATTTTTGTTTACGTTTCACAATCCAGCAAGTTCTTGATAACAAATATCATGTCTTGCTGTATTGTTTTTCACACTAGGATATACATCAGCTTAATGAAGTTGAAATATATATCAAAGAATACTCAAATTATAATCAAGTACTTTAAATGTGCTTTAGTCAACACACATCAAAGTAAGTGTACTTCTTTAAAGCACAGCAAAAGATCATTAAATCGAGATTTTTGTAATAATTGGACTGTTGCAAAAAAAAAAAAAAAAAAAAAAAAATCAGACCTAGATCTTGCGACGAGCTCGGTTTGAGTTTGGCATTGCACCTCTTCTGGCATTGCACCTCCCCCCACAAAGGCCAAAGTAGGGGCCGGCTTCCCTCCCGGTCTCTTTCCTCTTTTCATCTCGTCACAGTGTAGGATCAATTCTCAGCAGACCGACAGATGGCTAAAGCTCATTACACACCACATATCTGCACGAAATCTACAGTCCAGATTCTACTCGATTTGTCATTTTACACCTGAACAGTCCCTTTCATCATCACACAATCAAATATCATGTACTTTAATAGAAGTGCAATTACAGAGAATCCTACGTGTTTCTGCAAAACATGTTCAGACCGTGCAATCGATTTACGGAAGAAAATGCAACAGCACCAGATAGCTTTACAGTGTGACATGACCATCAAGTCAGCTTTATTTAGATAGCGCTTTTTACAATACAGATTGTTTCAAAGCATCTTTAAACACTAGATAACAAAAGCAACAAAGTTTGTTTCCAGAAGTAAAGACACGCGTCAGCCGCGTCACTGAACCGGAAGATAATACAATGCTGAATAAAGTCGCCGTTTTTGTTATTTTTGGACCAAAATGTATTTTCGATGCTTCAAAACATTGTAACTAACCCACTGAGGTCACATGGACTACTTTGATGATGTCTTTATTTCCTTTCCGTTATAAGTGAGGTTTAAGCTTACCTCTCAGCGTGAGCTCAGCCTGGGCCTCGATGGATCCGTTGATGTTGTCTGCCAGACAGTTGTACACACCGGCGTCTTCCTCGGTGAGATTGAAGATCTGCAGACTGCCTCCGCCGAGCACCTCGAAGCGGCCCGTGCTGTGAAGAGAAAAACACGCTGTCAATTCTCTCCCTTCAGACAGTTAAATGTATACTTAGTCCAACAGGTGGAATATATCTTGCAAAGGGAGCGTGCTAAGAGAAAAGGCAGCGTAACGATTGTGGTGGTGTGGTTAAGGGGTTAAAGGTCAGGCTTTGTTATCAGAAGGTCTCTGGTTTGAAGCTGGTGGAAAACAATGAACCCTTCAGCAAGACCCTTAACCCCAGGACGCTTTCGGAGAATAGTCCAGCGTATAACTACACTGCATGTAGTGATAGGGTGAGCTTTACCTTCACAAAAATAGTGTTAGTTCACCTCAGAAGGCCAAAGTGTGTGTGTGTCCATCTATGCATCTATCTATGATTCTATGTATCTGTCCATCCATCCATCTATGATTCTATGTATCTATCTATGATCCTATGTATCTATCCATCCATCCATCTATCTATCTTTCTATCTATCTATCTATCTATCTATCTATCTATCTATCTATCTATCTATCTATCTATCTATCTATCTATCTATCTATCTATCTATCTATCTATCTATCTATCTAAGCATTTATGCATCCACCCATCCAACATCCACTCATCCATCCATCCATCCACCCACCGACCCATCCATCCATACATCCACCCATCCATACATACATCCACCCATCCATCTATCTATGTAAGCATTTATGCATCCACCCATCCATCCATACATCCACCCACCCACCCATCCATCCAACCAACCAACCATCCATCCACCCACCCACCCATCCAAAAATCCACCCATCCATCCATCCATCCATCCATCCACCCATCCATCCATACATCCACCCATCCATCCATCCATCCATCCATGTAAGCATTTATGCATCCACCCATCCATCCAACCATCCACCCACCCACCCATCCATCCAACCAACCATCCACCCACCCACCCACCCATCCAAAATCCACCCATCCATCCATCCATCCATCCACCCATCCATACATACATCCACCCATCCATCCATCCATCCATGTAAGCATTTATGCATCCACCCATACATCCACCCATCCATCCATCCATACATCCACCCATCCATACATACATCCACCCATCCATCTATCTATGTAAGCATTTATGCATCCACCCATCCATCCATACAACCACCCATCCACCCATCCATCCAACCAACCATCCACCCACCCACCCATCCAAAAATCCACCCATCCATCCATCCATCCATCCATCCATCCATCCATTTACCCATCCATCCATACATCCACCCATCCATACATACATCCACCCATCCATCCATCCATCCATGTAAGCATTTATGCATCCACCCATCCATCCACCCACCCACCCATCCAAAAATCCACCCATCCATCTATCCATCCATCCATCCATCCATACATACATCAACCCATCCATCCACCCACCCATCCATCCATCCACCCACCCATCCACCCATCCATCCATCCATCCATCCATCCACCCACCCACCCACCCACCCACCCATCCATCCATCCATCCATCCATCCATACATCCACCCATCCACCCACCCATCCATCCAAATTATTAATTGAGAAATTATTTGAATTAATTTATTTATTGACCGGTTTTCAACCCTGTTACCAATAGTTGTCTGAATACAAAAGGCATGCCCGAATATATTTATTTACTATTTTTCATCCCTATTACCAGATGTTGTCTGAATACAAGACATTTCTGAATTTTCTTTAATATTTTTTCATCCCTGTTACCAAATGTTGCTTGAATACAAAAGATATATCTGAATATATTTACAAAAAAAGTCATCCCTGTTACCATAGTTGCCTGAATACAAAAGGCATTTCTGAATGTATTATTTACTATTTTTCATCCCTGTTTCCAATAGTGGTATGAATGCATGACAATTCTGAATGTATGTACTATTTTCCATCCCTGTTACTAAAATTTGTCTGAATACAAAATACATGTCTGAATATATACACACTTTTTTCATCCCTGTTACAAAAAATCTGCCTGTATACAAAAACATGGGTGAATACAATTTAAAACCATGTGGGATTTCTAGGAATAACATTAAATTAAGAAAAAAAATATTTTTAAATATATTACAATTCATTAAAAATGGGTAACAGGGTTTTTTACAATATCTTAGATGTTTAAATGGCTGTGCTTGATGAATGCACACCATGGGTAAAAATTGATTCAATGATTTCTGCAATGATTTTTTTTTTTTGCCCTACAGACAAACTAATCATCATTCAGTTGTGGAGTTGGGTGGATTTCCGACACAGGGAACATGCTGTGATGCTGAGCAAGGCATAAATAGTTTACAGAAAAGAAGAGGAGAGGAGCCGACTGAAAACACAAGAAAATCTCCACTCAACCTCATCTGTCAGACATCGACTGGCATTAAACACCATTATCACCAGCATTCTCACACTGACTATTTTTATTTCTCTGCCTGTCTCAGCCGTGAAGTAACCCGATCCATGTGTTGAATTCAAAATTAAACTCTGCTTGTATTATTTTACTTATATTTTTGGGATTTGAAAGAAAAATAAAAAATTAGTGGAATTCCAAGGAACGCATTTATGAGAGTACAATAAAGGCCTCATACAATTAGACAAAATAGATATAATAAATGAACACCTAAAGAAGAGCAAGTCAATCCTAAACCAATGTAAGTACCAAAATATCTACATTTAGAGAACAACAGTTCTCTGATGGATGTGGCTAACAGTCCAAAACACACGCCAGACCGCAGCACTCGCAGAAGAGAGAGAAGCTCAACGAAACTCCACCCTACCTCAAGCATAACACACACCTCAACCCAAGGGAAAACCAGCTGGTCTCATGAAGGGGGTCTTTGTCCGTTTGGGCTAAAGAACATGCAGTGAAACACGTAGACCCAATGAGGAGCTTTTCCACAGAAGACACGCTTCATTCTTCATGTTTTTCTTTCATGGACTGTGACGTTATTACTTGTAAGCTCCACACATCAGTGGCTCTCCGCATGTGTATCTATAGTCGACGGCCTCGAAACCGAGACACAGGCAAAGTTATTTTACTTGATTTAATCTGAAAGACTCACTTAGACTCCTTGGAACTGGATCAGATGCATAAATTAGACAAATATATAGACAATATAAGTATAACAATATATAACAATACAAATAAGACAAGTAAATAATAATAATCTATTTTATTGATTTGACGGCATCAAGCATTCAGCCATATTACCAAATTTATTGTAAACTATAAATTAGCTTGTTCCCAAAAGTTGTCTGAATACAGACATCACAATCCAATTGAATCAAATTAAAATCATGAGCACTTTTAGCAATGAACATTAAATAAAGAAAAATAAAATGGCTAACAGGGTTTCTTACAATAACCATAACAGGGTTGAATGGCTGTGCTTCATGAATGCACAACATCATTTGTGTAAAAATTGATAAATGGTTTTCTTTTGCCCTATTGATGAACTAAAAATGGCTTATTTTTGTCATCTTAATGTAAGTAAATATGATTTTCACATGTGTCTGCTGAGGGGGAGACAGGCTTGGAGACTCGGTTTTACCGAAAAGGTCCATTGTAGTGTTTTGCATTTGTAAAGACTTGGAGCTGGATCAGACAAGACAAATAAGACGATATATATATATATATGAAGAGTTCAGATGCAAAAGCCTCTAAATGCCATTTGAAATTTTCATCTTTAATGATGATTTTTATCAAACTTGTATATTTAAGTTCAGTAATTTCACTTAAATAACAATTAATAGGTAATTATCATTGCCATTTAAGTGAAATTACTGAACTTAAATATACAAGTTTGATAAAAATCATCATTAAAGAAGAAAATTTCAAATGGCACTTAGAGGCTTTTGCATCTGAACTCTTCATATATATATATATATATATATAAATTAAAAAAAAGGGAAAAAATTACTAACATGGGTTTCTTACCATAATCATGGTAACAATTCTATTTTATTGATTTTCTAATCTATTTTATTGATTTGACACAAAATGTTACAAACAAATTAACAGCAAAATTAAAATCCCCCCCCCCCCTAAATAGCTAGAGTAATTCCTATTTAGGAGCATTAATATTTTATTTTATCACTAAAAATACTTGTTATTTGTATAATACTTGTAATACTTGTAACTTGCTATTGTTAGAAAATAATAAAATCTCACTAAGTAAGTATAATATTCAGACATTCCCATTTTTTGTAAACAAACACATGCACACACACACACAAACCTGCGGTCAGTGAATGATACTTTCTAAATTTAGGCGTCTACTCTCCTTTCACTTAACATTTGTTAAAAAAAATCAAGGGTTTCAAGTCCAATTTTGCACCCTATACACAGATAAACAACAATGGCCTGAATAGAAAAGACATTTTTTAACAAGTAAGCCACCTTGGACTCATTTCCTTCATTCACGACCGTCGGTGCATCAGGCGTGTTGAGGGAGCAGTAATGCTTTGGTTCTATGCCTGGAGTCGCCTCAAATAACCCAGAACTAATGTGCAGGTTAGCAGCTAACAGGCTAACAGCTAGCGCTACATATCCAGTGTGCCGCTCTGAGGCCAAACTACTGGCATCCGTCAACAGAAACCCAACACCAAACTACCGGTGGCGCTGACCCAACCTGCCCCAGAGCAGCCAGCCTGTGATTGATGCCGTCATGAGATACAGCGAGCGAGATGAAAGCCTGCCTTGTCAACAGCTCAGAAGGTTCTGGCATGGTTTCCATCCTTAACTGTTCAGCTCTATGACTGTGACTCCAAACAGAGCAGATGCTAAAGCTGTGCCAAGCCTTGAATGAGGGAGTGACACTTTTCCCTCTGATGCCACCAGCAAGAGTCCTGTGTGGAAATCCAGTTAAAACCAGATGGTTTCCACCCTCATAAAGTCAAAAACGGCAAAAACTTGATATTATAGAAATTTCATAATCATTTGTATTTGAAACAAGTATTCGTTACTTCAATGAGCTCATTG